AAAACGACCATTGACTCCAGTCGAGTTCCGCCACGCGCTGTGGGTGGCCTTGTTGGACCAACAGTCGGTGCAGAACGACCGCCAGGTAGACTCCGACGTCCCAGACGTCAGCAACATGAATGCCTGTGTCAAATTGGTTACGAGCTCCTCGAAAGGTCTTGCCGAAATTACCAAATCCAAGCAGCCAATTGTACAGTTTGTTTACGAATTAGTACGGGACTTCTTGGTAAAGGAATAGGGCTTCCAGGACTTGTGGCCTGAACTTGGATTCGAATGGGAGGGCCCCAGCCATGAGAGGCTCAAACGCTGCTGCACTACGTATCTGTCCCTTTCAGGAGTACAGGCGATCGTTAACGACCCCGAGGGCAGAGACGTATGCGACGCTCTGGCTTAGAAATACTCATTTTTAGAGTATGCCAGCCAGCAGGTCCTCCACCATGCTAATGCCGCTGCGTTTGTGGTGCCCCAAGACGAGTTCATGTCTCAATTCTTTGCTTCAGCTGGGATCGGGGTGGTTAACTTGTTCGAGAGGCATAAAAAGCGGCGGTATGGCGTTTACGCAACACCTATTTATGTCCTAGCAGACAGAGGGCTAGAAAACCTCATCCGCACACGGATAAAACAAGAGCCTGCTGCCCGCGCCCCTCGAGAAAGGTACGAGTATCCATTTTTCGCCGCATTGGCCAACGGCCACAAAAGCGCGGTGGCTGCATTTTTGGGGTTATCTTCAACCATCCGCGATGGCGTCGATATTACTGAAGGTTTAAAGTACAGGAAAGACTTAACGGGATACAAAGGCCAAACGCCGTTATCCTGGGCTGCCCAAAAGGGTAAACTGAGCATTGTGAAGGTGTTCGTCGACCGCGGGGCGGATGTCAACGCTCAAGAAAAGGATGGATGGACGGCACTGATGCTGGCCTCAAGGAGCGGACACGAGGCTGTGGCGCGGCTTCTCATCGACCGCGGGGCGGATATCAACGCTTAAGAAAAGGATGGATGGACGGCACTAATGCTGGCCTCAAAGAGCGGACACGAAGCTGTGGCGCGGCTTTTCATCAACCGCGGGGCGGATGTTAACGCTCAAAAAAAGGATAAATGGACGGCACTAATGCTGGCCTCAGGGAACGGACACAAGGCTGTGGCGCGGCTTCTTATCGACCGCGGGGCGGATGTTAACGCTTAAATCAAGGCTGGATCGAAGGATGGATGGACGGCACTGATGCTGGCCTCAGACAGCAAATACGAGGCTGTAGCGCGGCTTCTCATCGACCGCGGGGCGGACGTCAACTAATGCGGGCCTTTCAAACCAAGGATGCGGGCTTCGGAGAACGGACGCAAGGCTGTGGCGTGGCTTCTCTTACCGACAAACCGAGGGCTGCTGAGTATATCTTCGAACTCAGGCTTTTTAAGCACTTCCGGAGAACAGAAACCAGCTAGTGGTATTTTTTTCGTCGGTGACAATTGGGTTACCCGATTACCCGAGATGGACAGAACCTTCATGTGTGGCAGTTCATGGTTGTACACTTGTCTTAAGGCATGTTTTTGGTTAAGTAACATTCTTTCAGTTTGCTTTCGCTGAATGAGCTTTCGCTGAATGATAGGGTGAATGTTTTAATTTAATAAATGAAGGGCCTGGGAGTTATAACTGCTTTATACTATTGAGTTTACTAAGTTCTTGCCACTAACGTAAAGATACGTAAAGATGACGGTACGATCCGTGAGGTTGGTTTGGACAATGAAGCTTGCTGGCTGATCGGTCGCCAACATCTTGTCAATACTGGCCCAATACTGGCCTAAGCGCGGCTGTTGCATGGAGGCCCCAACATGTAAGTGGGCCGCGCTCCCGAATACCTGCCTTGTCAGCCACCGCATGTTCCCTCGAAGGAACTGTGCATGGGTACAGTGTGTGGATGGGTCAACTAAACCCTATGCTATCCGTCGTCACCCTGCAGATTCGGCTCGGCGAGACTTGCTGACAAGGCAAAGAAAAAAGCCCGCCACACACAACCAGTTATTGCCGCCTTTCCCGCACTTTCCGGGCTCGTTGGATCCTGCGGACGAAGAATGGGCTGTCCGCATTAAATATGACTTTGCTGAGCGCCTGAGCGCTTGAGCGCGTAGGGGGCCGCCTCCGCCGCCTCCGGGGAGGCTATCGGGGTCATCCCGCTGTTCCCGCTGCCCGCCGATCCCAGGTAGCGGCAAAGAGCTGTGGCGGTGCTACGGTGCTATTGACGAATGGCAGTAAAGTATTCTGTACTTCCTCTTCATTTGTGAAACGAACGGCGAAAAAGTCGTTCAACGGTACTTATGAACCCAGCGCACCACGGACATATCGGGAACATTCTACGCACCAAATGGAGTAACCAGCCAAGGAGCAAGCATGTCTTTTCCACCCCACGCTCCGCTTTAGAAAGTGTGGGCCCGATGCGGCGTGCTCCAAATCATCTTCTGCACAATGCATCTCCTCCGCGCTCACAAAATGGCCCTCCTGTGTGAATATCACATGAAGTATAAATGAATATCTGCTCTGTTCGCTAGCGATTTAACATACCCAGGTCCACATCACCTCAACCATCCCTAAATTCAGCCTCAAATTCACATTCAAGAGGTTATAGGAAATCCCTTCCTTTAAAACTGCTGCAGAATCTCAGGACATTGTTCGAGATGCGCAGCGGGTTCCCAAGTATTGTGCTTGTTGTGCCCAGGGTTAGGAATTAAGTCAAAAGTCATAAGTCAAATTCATAACTTTTGTAAGTAAGCCAGTCAAAGTCAACGGTGTAACTAACTAATAACTTACTTAATTTTTTTTGACTTACTTAATTGACTTAATTAGTCATTTTAAGTTAATTTTTGCATAAGTTTTTTCATAAATCCACATAATCTTTTGCATATTTTTGCAATTTTTTTTAAAAAAATTGTTTTATATATAAATAAAGTAAAATAAAATTATAATTAAAATAAATAATAATAATAAAAGTAATAAAATAATAATAAATTTAATAATTAAAAAAGTAATAAAAAAAGTAATAAAAAAAGCAATGACTTAAATTGACTAATTTAGTCACTTAAGTAAGTTATTAGTCAGTCAAAATAAGTTAAAGTTACCGCCGTAACTTTTTTAGTAAGTTAAAGTTACGGTAGTGACTTAACTTACTGACTTAATTCCCAACCCTGGTTGTGCCCATACCCTGCCCACTTGACCAGGTACTCCCGCCCCTCTTCTCCCTGTCTCCAGTCCCGAATATCCTCCATCTCAAAATACTCGTCGCCTTGAACCTCTTCAGCCGTAAAGGCAACTTTTGAAGGGAAAGCGCGCCCCGTCGAGGAAGTCTTCCCTGCCAGTAACTTGCACCGCGGGATTTCCGGTGCGCGGTCATTGCGTCCATGATTCGTACGGGGATTCCACGTGAACTCCACCTGAAAAGTCGCTGCGCCGTCTACCCAAACGAGCCTAAGGACCGCTTCAAGTGGCCATTCCTCAAAGCTTGCGAAAGCGGCCTCGATTGTCTCCCTTCCAAAGCGGACCCCCTTGAAAATCGCAGCTTGGAAATGCTGCGCTAACTCTGGCGGTGTTTTGGACCTTGGGTTAGCGGTGGTCGTTGAGCCTGTAGTGATGGGGAGTCGGTGCAACGCAAACGTGTTTGCCGCTTGGGCGCTATTCTGCGGGTTGTAGGGGCCGAAGTGTTTACCCTGCGGCGCTTCCCTCGTGGCGGCCGGACGACATCCTCATCCTTGCCTTGCTTGGCGTCACTTCCCGCAATGGGAGAATAGTCCTCCTCCTCGTCGGTATCGCAACAACGTCGACGTCGATGACGACCGATGTTGTGCTAAAGGTTGACTTGCTCCTGGCTGGCGGACGGCTGCATAGATGGCTCGGTATTGGCCAGCTCACTTTCGTTGCCGCTCTCATCGCCCGACAAACTTGGCATGCCTGCCCGACTCTCCTGCGCTTGCGGCGGCACAACAGAACAATCCTCATTCTGCTCTCCTCCGTCGTCCAGAACGAGAGGATGGCGGTGTTCTGGGTCACTTGTTTGAACGCTGTCGCCGCGGTGATCACGATGTCGAAAGAGGTGGCAGCTGCCGGACCTCTGTTGTAGATCAACCCCACGACCGGAGGTGGCGCTGCATGGGCTCTAGGGCTAAAAGCGTGGCTCGGCATCCGCCGGTTCGAGCTCGCTGGTGCTCTCGTCGTCCGGCAGTGTGGTATGCGTGCCCGGCT